GGGCCCACAGGGGAGACACAGGGAGATTGGGTGGTGCCTGCCCCACGACGCCCCAGTCTTGAGCCCCCCTCCCAGGGGGCGGGCTATAAACCTCACCTTCTGTGAAGGGCTCCCACTGGTACAGCTGGCCCATGAACTCCTGGGAGTCAAAGGCGGCACACTGCAGGGCCCGAGGGTCTGGCTGCTCAGGGGGGCAGGGCTGAGGTGGGGGGATACAGAGGAGTCAAAGCTAGGGAGGAAAATGGGGGTGTGGGTCAGGGCTGGATTTGGGGAGCAGGGACGAAGTCAGGTCTGCAGGGGGCCTCCAAGGCCCTTGCCCTGAGGAGGTCAGATGGAAGGCCTCTCCCCTCGGGTCCAGATCTGACAAGCTGAGGACCCAGACTCGGGGTCAGGGAAGCAGTAATGGGGGCGGGGGTGTCCAAGGAAGAACTCACCGCTTGGCTGCAGGCTCTCAGCTGCTCACTCTCCCCAGGACATCTCGGGACAGGGCTACTGGGAGCAAAGAGGCTCCACTGGGAGCTGGCGTGGGGGCCGGCCCTTAGCAGAGGCAGCCAGCCATCTGCGAGGTGAGGGGCGGACTCTGGCCCGTGCAGACTCCCCGCAGGCCTCCAGTGCTCCCAGCTCTGTGGGCCTCGGCCCCGAGGGACGGGAAGGAAAGGATTAGGGTGTCTCTCTACTGTCCGGGAGCCGGCCCAGTCCCTGGGACTTGGCATTCTTGGCTGAGGGGACACGTGGAAGGAGCCACTTTCTCCAAAGGAGGAGGAGGAGGATGGGGGAGCTGTGCCAGAGGCCTGGGCTCTGGGCTGGGGTCCTGGGGAGGCAGGCCTGCCCCCAGGGGGCACCTCTGTCCCAGCAGCCTCCGTGCCTGGAGACTCTGCTGGAGGGGACAGGGTGGGAGCAGAGAAAGCCATAGGAGGCAGCTGAGTTTGAGGGGTGTGGTTTGCGGGGGACAGCTCTGCTCCTGGAGGCAGGGATGAAGGGAGCTCTGCGGTCTGGGAGGACGCAGGTCCGGGGGATGTCTGGGGGTGCCTGCGGTTCCGATGCAGCGGCAGAGCAAAGGGCACTCTCCCATAACCAAACATTCCTGGTTTGATGGGGTCTCGAACCCGAGATCTGAGAAGGTGTTGCGGACACGGGGTCACAGTTCTGGCAGTCTCTGACCCTGCGTCCCCTCCCCCTCTACTCCCTAGCTCCAGAGATAAGCCCCACCCCAAGCCCTGGGTCCTTTTCCCCTTTCCCTTTACCCCAAGCCCCGCCCCTTGCCTAAGGCCCACCCCTTCCCTCAAACCCCACTTCTCACCTCCTGGCTCCTTGAGCCTCCTGGGCCTCCTCTCTCCCTGACTGGGAAGCAGGACCTCGAAGTGGGCCACCTCTTCCCCGAGGCGGTGGCCTGTACAGGGGGAGGGTTTGTCGGGGAGGTTGGGGTCTGGGGCCCTGTCTTCGGGGAGGCAGGGTTTCTGGATGTCTTGGGGGCCGGGATGGGAGGGGCGGGCTGTGGTGGAGCTGAGCTGTTGGGAGCTGACATATCCGGCTCCTGCGTTGCACCCCCACCCCGCATGGCTGGGAGCAAGAGGCCCACTGGTTCCAAGGACCCCAGATGCCCTCAGGGGCCTGGCCCTCCTCAGGGGGTGTCTGAAGAGCATGTCCAGACAACACCTATGTAGACAAAAAGGTCAAACAGAATTGGAATGACTTTAGAGGGACCCTATAGGGCTCCAGTCCAATGCTCAGGGTTCAGGGAGGTGGTTACCAGCCCAAGGTCACACTCAGCAGCAGAGGTGTTATTTGGCAAGGAGCTAGGGAGTTGGAGAGAAGGGGGGCAGGGGGCAGCCAAGCGTGAGAGAAAGGGCCCCAGCTCATCAGATGCCCTGCCCTCGAGAAGTGGGTGGGAGGCCGGGGAGATGGAAGGACCGCAGCTCTGGCCCCTGGCTCACCTCCTGATCCAGGCAGAGCCGAGGGAGGGACAGAAGCAGCATCAGACCAAACTGGGGCCTACAAACCAAAGGCAGAGCGGGGATGTCGGACCAGAGGTGTCACTGCCTGCGTCACTGCCCCTCACCCCCAGCAGGAGAGAACTTCTGTCATCCTGATGAGAGAACTTCTGAGAAAGCAGAAGTTACCCATCACTCCCTCCACCCCTCCCAGTGATCTCCTTTCCCTCACTTCCAAGGAAGGACAGAGCCACCCCTCTGCCCGGCAGCCCACCACTTACCTGCCCGCCCACTTCTCCATCGCTCCCCTCTGGTGGGGCAAGGGAGGAGGGGCCGGAAGTAAACACACTACTCAGACATCTGGACGTGGAGGAGGTGCGCTCTGCAGAGACAGAAGCCCGGTGGCTACCCCAGAAAGCTGGGGCTGGGAGGGATGGCTCCTCAGAAGGCCGCCTGAAGTGAGGACGGAGGGGTGGGGAAGACTGGCTCATCCCTGTATGACCCTCAGGGTGAGCTTGAGGAGGCTGGCTGCCCTTGTCCAGCTGCTGAGGCTGGAGGGTGGAGGGTGCAGGCTCAGCCTCCTCCCCTCGGCCCTGTAGGAACTTCTTAGCTCCTCCCTAGTCCCAGCCAGGAACTGCTTCTAGGCCAGCTCAGGCACACGCATCGGCCTTAGGATGGTCTTCATCCCACTCCCGCCCTGCTGGAGGTCCTCCCAAGAGGACGGAGGATGTGGTGAGGGCAGGACAGGCGCCCCCTTGAGGAGCTGGCAGGAAGCCCCTGGGGCTTTGTTTCCTACCTGCCTCCAAGCCTCTCCTTCCCTTCTTAGCTAACGTCCTTCTGGAACACTCGGGCACAAGTCTGCCGGCCTCAAGCACTTTCTAGCCCAGGGATAAACTAAGTGGGCTGATTGATGGCTTAATCTCGGGAGAAGCAGGTGACTGTCCCCTCTGCAATTCCACCTCCTTCAGGGCCAGCACCCAGCACTGGTTCAACGAGGGCTTATTTCAGGTGCGACTCTGAAGGACGGGGTGGGGGTGGGGGGGCCTGGGAAGGAGAGGTGCAGCTGTAGCTGCCGTTGCTCCCCAGTCACAGGGCTGCCATCCTGAAGAGCCCAGAAGTCCTCCCGAAGTCCAGCTTTGATCAGGCCGTGGGGAAAGTGGGGCTTGGAACCCTGCCCGACCCCAAAGCCTGCCGCTCCCACTGCCCCCCCGCCCATCACTCCCCAGCCCCTTCCTGCTCGGTACCAGCCCTTCCCACCCCCACTCTCCATCCCACTCTTAGTTATGCTTTCCAGGAAAAAAAAAATGTTTCTGTTGGATCTGAAAGGCACCCGGGAAAGGAGTCCAAGGAGCCAGTGCCGAGGTGGGCCAGCTCAGGGGCGGGACAATGACAGAGGGAAGGGCGGGAATGTGCGTGAGGACGGCAACGCTCAGCCCCTTCCCTCCCTGAGACCCAGGACATGGGAGTTTGAGGGCGGATCACCATGGTTGAGCCCGGCCTGCTGGGTCACCCCAGCTGCTGGGGCTTGGGGAGGGGGTGGTTGATAGCTGCTCCTTCCCCTGGCCGGGCTGACCACTGAGGTCAGCACTCCGCCCTGATGGAAGGGGAGAGACGGGAGGGTGTGGGTATCGGCTCCAGAGAAGGGCCAAGGCTCCACCCGAGCCTTCCACTCTCCGCCTGACTCCTCTCCTTGAGGTCGGAGGAAAGGAGAAATGAGGGTGACGGCCACCGTCCATCCTTCTCTGCTCTGGGGTCCCCTTTCCACTCCCTCTCTTGACTCTGCCTCTCTCTGCTGCCCCGGGTCCGTGTCATGCCTCTCTCTCCAGGGTCTACCCAGTACACATAATCCTGTCCTGAGCTGGCTTTGGCTCCGGCAGTTCCCTGGAGAAGTGAGGGGTGGGGGTGACGTGAGCTCCTGGGGCCCCGGCCAGGCCTGGCTCCCTCTCTGGAAAAGTCCCACCCCAGCCCTCCTGCACAGCTGGGCAGGGGGCCGACAGCCCCTCCATTAGAGAAACAGGACACACCTTAGTGCTTTTTACCCCTTTTCACGTCCCTCATCTGGTGTGTCTCACTGCCCAGGGTGAGGAAAGAAGAGGTCAGATGTGGTCCTCTAGTGCCAGGCTGGACGTTGGTCTGGACAAACCTGGGCTCCTCCTGGCCACACCTCCACACTGGCCGGGGCAGATCAAAGAGGAGAGAGATCTGGGCAGGGCCAGCCCCTTTACCCCCAGAAGGCCTCACCGCTGGGAAACGGGTCTCCCTGCGGCGGGAGAGGGCTGGACAGCGTGCTTCACGGCTGGCAGGAGCCCCTGTCCTGGGTAGAACCTCTTGGTCCTCATTGTGCCCTCCGTCCCGGGGCCCTGGGGGACCGTCCCAACAGGTGCCCTTCCTTCTAGTCCTCAGGCTGAGCTGGACCCCGGGCGCCCACCTGCATCCCTCCCGGTGCCCCTGTCCCGCAACTCTAGGAGAGACGGGGTGGTGGGTCGGGGTGGGGGGCGGCGGGGCACACCATCCTCTAGAGGAGGGCAGGAGGCGCCGGCGCGTGCGAGGAGGTCCTAGGTATGTTTTCCAACTTGACTGTGTGACTTACTGGGAATTTTGGCTGGTTCTCCTCCCGGGTGACAGGGGCAGAGTTCCACGGGATCAGAGCCCCCTCCCCAGGAATTCGACCCCAGGGACTGGAGGACCTTCCGAGGCTGTAAGAGCTGCGGCCAGGGTCGTGGCTAGGGCGCGACCGCGGGGCGCAGGGAGCAGGGGCGGCGCGGGGGCGCGGGGCGGGTGGCCTAACGGGACCCGGGAGAGAGGGCGCCGGGGCCGGGGGCGGGGGTCCCAGGGGAGGTCTGTACCTGCTCTGCGCGGCCCCGGCGGCCCGTTAGCCCCTCTGCGCCCGGGCGCTCTCTCGAGGCAGCCTAGCTCCGCGGTGGCCACAGCTGCCCCTGAGCCGGGCTCCGGACACTGCCGCCTCCGGCCGCGGCTCCGCCCCCGCCACGCCCCCGCCACGCCCGCCACGCGCCCGGCCCGCGCCCCTCGGCGGCCCCCGGGGTGCGGCGGCCCACCCCCAGCCCTGGTTCACCGGGGCCACCCACTCGAGGTGGCCCGCGGACGGCGCCAGGTGGGGAAACCGGGCGGTCCCAGCCGGCTGGGAGACGGCGTCGCCCCCTGCGCGGTCCCCGGGCCCCGGCGCTAGGCCGGGCAGGGACTCGGGGCTGCCTGACCCAGGCCCCCGGACCCGCTCCGAGGGGGCCGCCGCGAGGGGCACGAAGGCGCTCCGTGGTCCCTGTTCCCGAGCAGCGTGGGCGAGTCGGGGCCCCAGATGGGGTCTGTGAACCCGGCCAGGATGGCCTCGCGCGCCCCCGGACCCGCGTGAGTCAAGGCCCTCTCCTCCGCGCAGCCCGTCGGGCTAGCCCTGCGGCTCCAAGTTGGGTCGTGCGCCCTGCGGTTCTCAGCTCGGGGACCTCTATGAGCCTCGGTTTCCTCGCCCATAAAGTTTTACACTGGGGCGTAGCGGGAGGAATGCGCTGACTTCGGGATTTGAATCTCAGCACCAGTAGTTAGTTGCCAGCTCTGTGGTCTTGGGCGAATGCTTCGTTTCTTCTGTACCTCAGTTTCCTCATCTGTAAAGTGGCGCTAATCTGGTATTTTGTGTGTGTGTGTGTGTGTGTGTGTGTAATAGGTTTGGAAATATGTCTGTATCCATTCATATCCGGAAAAATGCCCCCCCAAACTCCATCTATGTGGCGACGCCTCGAATGGGGGGCGGGGTTGGGGAGGAAAAAATAAGCCTTCACGTTGTACCTTATACGTTTATATGCTGTTTGAATTTTTAACCACAAGTGTTAGCTGTGTTATGAGTTATGTTTAAAAATAATAATATATGGCTTACATAGAGTAGGTAATAAGTGGTTGCTACTATTAATTTTTCAAAAATACTTTAATTATTTTTAGAGGGAAGGGAAGGGAAGGAGCAAGAGGGAGAGAAACATCAATGTGTGGTTGCCTCCCATGTGTCCCCCACTGGGGACCTGACCAGCAACCCAGGCATGTGCCCTGACAGGGAATCCACAACCCCTTGGTTCCCAGGCCCGCGCTCAGCCCACTGAGCTGCACCAGCCAGTGCTAACTTTTTTTTAAATTGCCATTTACTCATGAGTCACAGTTGGGTACTTTTAGCCTACTCAGTATTTTTTAAAAATTGATTTCAGAGAGATAGAAACATTGGTGTGTTGTTCCGCGTGTTTATGCATTTGTTGGTTGATTCTTGTTCGTGCCTTGACCACAGATCAAACCCACAGCCCTGGCGTATCGGGGGAACGCTCCAGGGGACTGCGCGGTCTGGTCCGGGCTCGCCCGCCTGCCGCTCTCGGGCACCTGTAGCACTTGGCGATGAGGGCACAGTGCGATGACAAGCTGTGCCCTCGCAAGCTGGGTCTCGCCGGAGGCAGCCAGCCGTGGGGTAGTGAGTGCTGGACTCCACGGCAGCCAGGTTATCTCTGAGATGAGGGAGGGGCAGATATAAAATGCTTTTACAACGTGAGGAGGTTGTACCCTTACTTGAAGTTTAACAGGCATATTTTGTTTTCTCATTAAATACCTGAGTTCTTTTTAGTTTGTAAAATATTTTTTCATATTTTGCATTTGTTGTTTGTATTTTTCTATTTGTAGGGTTGAAGGAAATACTAGAATTGCAATGTTACAGAACAGACAAATGAGTCCCAGCTGCCCAGGCCTGCTCTTCCGACTAACCCCTCGAAGCTCAGAGGCCCGTGGGCAGGCAGGTGAGCTGGCTGGGGACACCGGAGACCCCTGTGGTTGTGGGGACGCAGGACAATGTTGCTAGAGCTTCTGTTTCTCTGTTTTCATTTATCAAGAGAAGTTATAAAATACCCTGGTTTTAAAATAGTAAAAAAGCCACTGAAACAACCACAGACCTTTAAGACACCAAGCACAACACAGGAAACATGACCCAAGTCAGGTTTTTCTGCAGGCCTTAAGTCTGCACCTCTCCTCAAAATGCCCTGTGCTCCTGACGAGCCTGGACAGATAGCCGATTAGTGTCCCCCTCCCAGGCCGACTGGTTTATCTAGGGGCTGTCGGTGACAGCCCTCACCAAGAGGCATATTTATAGTCTCAGACTTGGAGCGGAGCCCCTCTGCTCAGACCTCAGAGTGCCGGGAGGAGGGAGGAATGCCCAGCCCACGGGGCACGGGAAGACGTTTTAGGTCAGGGACCTTTCTGTGGTCCCCAGTCACACCCCGTCAGCATTCACTCATCTGCAAGGAGGCAAAGCACCGGACAGGAAGGTGGGAGTGAAGACAGCAGAGCGAGAAGGGAGCCTGGGAGGATGGGAAAGGTCTGCCTTTGACATTTTTAACTGCTGTGAACTGAAGGTCAGGAATAGCCCTTTCCATTAAAAAGTGGCTGCAGACCAAAGAGATCATGAGATCAGCTACAGCTGTCGCCTCTCCTGACTTGGTGGTCTGCAGATTCCATAGTGAGAAAAGAGTTTCCTATGCTTTGGCAACCAGTGAAATGCCAGGTAGAATTGGTGGGCCTGCTGCTCAATAATGCAGCTAGCCTGGATATAGCACTTACTCAGTGTACGGTCTTCGTCATAACAGGTTTGGAAACAAAGACACAGAGAAATTCAGTAATTTGCCCCAAATCTCACAGTTAGAAGCTACTATCAGTATATATTATATGCAAGTAAAATTTTTTATAGATTTTATTTACTTATTTTTAGAGAGGAAGGGAGGGAGAGAAACATCAGATTCTCACACGCCCCAACTGGGGACCTGGCCTGCAACCCAGATATGAGCCCTGACTGGGAATCGAACCAGCGACCTTTCAGTTTGCCGACCAGCACTCAATCCACTGAGTCACACCAGCCAGGGCTGCAAGTGAAATTTCTGAGAAATGTAGCTGAGTTAGATTAATTTTTTCCCCTTGTAAGCTAAGGAAGTTGTATTTGTGTTGAATTAGATAACATTGTAAACCAGTGTTTCCTATGAGACGTTGTCCCTGTTCCAGGATAATACCAATGCTATCACCAGTGGGGGCCGATGGGACCAGAAACCAACGTGAAACTGGCTTTGGTTTGTGGCCACGGCAGCAACCATGTTCAGGAAGCCTGGCGTTTGTTTGCCTTTCTGCCTCTCGGAATCGTGGTTTGCTCGGCTCCTTTGTTCCAGAAGAGCTGTTCTCTTCCCAGCCACTTCGCACTGGGCTGGTCGGCAGCGGTGGACTCCCAGTGTCCGGTCACGTTATTCCTCACTGTTTTGTTTCACCGATGCCATTCCTCTGGCCCTTTGGCTTTGCCTTGGCCCAGTTCAATCTCCCTGCAACAGTTCTGAGAACAGCCTATTGTTACCTGTTCTCAGCAAGGAGCCTAGAGTGTGGGGACCTCCTGGCCAGGTTTACTCTTATACTCACCACCTCACCTTGCATGTAGTAGGTACTTAATTAATGCTGGTAGAGTGAGCCCATGAATGAGATATGGTGAGCACTGTCCAGCTCTGGCCACATCCCAGCACTTTCTGGTTGTCTCGCCCCGTCATGGCTGAGCTGGCTCTGGTGTGATGAAGTGACAAAGACACAGGTGCGACTTGTCTGGTAAGAGGAGCATCAAGACGTGGATGAATATTCTGGTCTTCTGGTCACTGCTCTGGAGATGTTGAACTTGGTCAGGAACTCCCGAAGTGAGAATTCTTTTAAAAAATTTTTTTTAAGATTTTATTTATTTTTTAGAGAAAGGGGAAGGGAAGGAGAGAGAGAGGGAGAGGAACATCAGTTGCCTCTCACATGTCCCCAACTGGGGATCTAGCTTGCAATTCAGGCACGTGCCCTGATTGGGAATCAAACCAACGACCTTTCAGTTCACTGACAGGTGTTCCATCCACTGTGCCACACCAGCCAGGGCAGGATTCTTCTTGATTTGATTCCAAATTTCAATCTACCATTGCCTCTCAGCAGGTCCTGGGGGTCCCTTGGGCACAGACTTTGCCTGGGTACAGCCCTGAGCCGTGTGTCTGTCCATCAGCATTCTGAAAACAGGAAATGCTCAGTAAATGTTTGTGGAATTGAATGAATTGATCAGACATAACGTTGGCAACCATTAAGCTTACAAAACCGTCAGCACTTTGACATCTGCGTTAAGGGTGCACATCTCCTTACACACGGGTTTGGGAAATGTGGCCATGAGCTAGAGCTTCTGGATTAGGCCTCCAGAATGTTTAAGGATATTCACGGTCTGCTAGATTGGGAAGATTCCTCAGATGATATGTTTCCCATTAGAGTCTGGATGTTACTGATATGCAGATGTAATAAAATGGAGCGCATCACCAGGAATGAGGAGCAGTGAGCCAGGACCCGTTCCTCAGCCGCATCCTGGGGTCTTGGAGAGGAACATCAGGGCCCAGTGTATCTATTTCATACGCTATGGTAAAAAAACAAAATAAAAATGGTTGCATGTGTGAGCCGAGGGGTGTGAGTGTGGGTTCACATAGAAAAGTAAGCTAGGCCCCGGATGGTGTGGCTCAGTTGGTTGGGCAAACCGAAAGTTCACCGGTTCGATTCCCCAGTTGGGACGCATGCCTGGGGTGCAGGTTCCAGGTGTGGAAGGCAGCCAGTGGAGGTTTCTCTTTCACATTGATGTTTCTCTCCCTTTCTTTCTCCCTTCTTTACCCTCTCTCTAAAATAAAAAATAAAAGTAAAAAAAAAAAAGTAAGCCAGTGCTATGATTAAGAATGCTATTCCAATCTATTTTTAGTTCCTTCGCCATACAGGTCACGGCTCTGCGTTGTGCCCTGGCCGGGCAGCTCAGCTGATTAGAGCGTCATCCCGACACTGATACCAGTCAGGGCACACACAACAGCCAACAGTGAGGGCATGAATAAATGGAGCAACAAATTGATGTTTCTCCCTCTCTCTCTTTTTCTCTTCCCCTCGCCCATTTCTCTGTCTTTAAAATCAACAACAACAACAACAATAGTAATAATAAAAGACTCTGCACGTGTGAAGACGTAAAGTTGCCCATCACGATGCCCGGAGTTCTCTGCAGTCTATGGTGCTGTGTCGGAGCCCCGTAAGCGTGCGGGGCGGGGCCGGTGCCAGAGCACACGCTAATGGGCCCTCGCACCAGGCTGCGTGTAGTGGCCTGGCCTCCGTGCCAGGGGCTGGGGAAAAAGCGATGTTGCTGTTTGGGCAGAGCCTTCTTCCCAGCTGAGAAATCTGGCAGCAGACGCACCACCAAGACCGAGTTCTGTGGTGTTGGCCCGGCTGGGCCGGCTCCTGCGCCTTGGGGTTCCTGGACCAGAACAGGAGGTGCTGTGGGCTGGCACAGGTTTGGACTGTGGCTGCCGAGGACAAAGATGTCTGGGGAGCAGGCTGAGCCCCAGAAAGAAGGGCCGGCGCTACCTGGTGGTGGGGACAGGGCTGCAGGGTTCCAAGAATTTTGAGAAAACAGAGCAATCCATTGTTTCGTTCTTGAGTCTGGAATTGCACTTAATGCACTGGCCACACAAAGTACTGTACTGTGACCACTTCCAAGCCCAACTGCAGATGTGAATGAAAAGCAGGAAATAGTGCAGTTTGTCCCAAGTGAGGAAGGTGACAGAAACCCATCTTCCCTCCCCAAAGGGGCTCCTACAAGAGAATAAAGGTCCATGTGATAATGGGGCCCAGTTCCCACCCTCACTCCTAATTCCAGGAGTAAATTAAGAACTTTTTCTGAGCCAAGCAGAGGTATGCAGAGTAGCAGGCTCTGGAGGTGATGTGGGCTCTCTCCGTGGTTGGAGGAAGGTGTCCCTTGCAGAGCTGAGCAGAGAGGATCAGGCGAGTGGGTGCCAGATCCCAGGGGCCAGAATCTGAGCAGGTTCCTTCTACCACCTGAGCTCCAAGAAACGGCCTCTTCCTCCAGGGCACCGTCGCCACCGCTGGAGACGGCAGACTCCGCCCTCAGGACTGCCCGAGGAAGAGGCCGTCCTCCCCGTGTGACCCTTGCTCTGTGCCCAGGGAAAGGCAGTTTGTGGGCGCGTTCTAGGGAAAGCCAGTTTGGTGTCAAAATAGCCGTGACGGATTGCGCCGATGGCCTAAGAAAGGCAAACATAAGAGGGTAGGAATCAGGGCACAAGACTGGAGACTGTGGCCAGAGACGCGGGCAGGGCAGCCAAGAGAGAGGCAGAATTTTCTACATACCAAGGACTTGAGCCCGAAACCGAAGAGTCAGGGTGTGCTCTGAAGCCAGAGTGAGTTGAGGGGCTCACCCCTCTGACCGTGGGCCCAGGCTCACTTCAGACACCTCGAGGGCCCCGAGTGGGTAAAGGAGCTACATTTGCTCCTGGTGCTGGAAAGGGTCTCCCTTTCCTGCTCACAGCCTCCCGGGCTTTAGGAGCTTCAGGATCTGGTCCTGACTCCTAGCCCGGCACTCAAAGCCTCGCCCTGAGGCCACAGCCCCCCAGCCAGGGCCTCCTTTCCTGCAACTCTCTCCCACTCCCTCTCTTCTGAACTTGGGACATCCACCCTCCAAGCCCCAGCTCCCTCTCTGTCTGAGTGAACCCCTCACCTGCCTGGACCACCGCTCTCCATCCCTCTCCCAGCCCCAAACCCTGGCCACAACAGCTGTCTCCAGGCCAGGGAATCTCTCACTTGGATGCGCCTGAAGGTGCCTGCAGGGCTGACAAAAATGCAGGTGCCTGGCGCCTGGTCTGCGTGATCTTGTTCCTGAGCTCACAGGGGTTCTATGCACACCCGGTTTTGAGGCCCCCTGGTCTACACCACTCCTTGGGAGTTTACCAGTGAACCAGGAACTACTTTGGGTCCTGGCACACGGGTATGCGGGAGGCACACTTCAATTTATTTCTCAGTAAGACCCTCATTTCTGTTTCAAGAGCCCTTTCCCCCGGGGCAGTGGAAACGTCAGTTTAGGGGACTCCTGCCTCACCTGTCTTACCTGTGAACACACTCAGATGGTGTAGGTGATGGCAGAGGTGTTTACTCCCTGAGGGAGAGGCAGGAAGAGCTCCTGGAGCAAAGCCCAGTTCCTTTCTGGCTCAGGACCCGCTCCCAGGGAGGAGGGGAGCAGCAGGGGCCTGGAAGGACTAAGGACCCAGGGGAGGGAAGGGTCGTGAAGGGGTCTCCCCAGCTGATGTAAAGCCGAGCTCTGCTCCCAAAGCAGCTCCGTCTCCTGACTTCTTACCTCCTCTCACGGGGCTGCTCTTCAGAGTCCTAGAGTCATCGTCCCCCTTTTCCCTCCTCATTCCACACCCGTAGGGAACTGAGAGGTCAGTCTGGCCAGTGCCTTCGTTTACAGGGGAAGAGATTGTGGCAATTTTTGGCAAACCCAGAATTAGATCCTGGGCCATGTCAGAGACACGGAGTCCAGTCCTCTTAGCCCAAAGACATGCTGTCCTTCACATAGCAAAGTGTCCTCGTCTGCTCTGTGACTGCCACCTGACTAAGCCATCACCTCCCACATGGGTCACACTGACAGTGATCAATACAAAATGCATGACCCTTGGCTCAGGGCATCTGTGGAATGCCTTCTGCCCTTCTCCCTTCCCTCCCATCCTACTCATTCTTCCAGATCAGCTCAAATGCCACCTCTTGCAAGAAGCGGAAGCTGGCCGGGCACACCTTCGCCCCCCAGCTGCACCCAGCTCTGTAACCCACACGCTGGATGGCAGGCTGGGATTGTAGTGGGCTGCGTCCTCGTGCCACTACGTTTCAATAACTAGCTTATAAATCCCTAAGAGCAGGGCCTTGCCTTGCTCTTCTGGGTTTTCCCGGCAGGACCTGGCATTGAGAACGACCTGATAACATTTCAGTCACTGCTTATGTGACATATGCCATGAGGCGAAACGTCAGCAAAACGCTTAGAACTGTCCACTGAGCCGCTGGCCCCAGTGAACTGGGGATACACACTGAGAAGGAAACGTTTAATTTGGGGGGTAAGCAAGCTCTCAGAGGAGCCGAAGGTGAGGGAACGACTAGGTACACAAGCCCAGCAGGCATCTTGCTCCAGCACCAGGGGGAAGGTTGCACATTCCAAGGGCTGGAGTCAGGCAGAGCAGGGTGGAGGCTTGTGGACGAGGTGCAGGTTGAGGCAGGAGGCACCCACTGGCCCAGGGTCGCCTGCCCGTACATGCACAGAGGCGCCCGACTCCGGCTGCCACCACTGGCCGCTGCGGGACTGCTGGGGCTCTAGGGCGGTCCCTGCTCTCCTGGGGCCGGGAAGTGTGGTGGTTGCTGCTCAGAGACCTCAGGTTAGAGCCAAGACTTTGCAGCAACCACCGCACTTCCCAGGCAGCCCCTTGGCTCTGCGGGCGCCAGGGGTGCACAGGGCGCACCTAAACTCAACAGCAGGGCTTCCCGTTGCCATTTTGCAGCTGTTTTCCAGTGTCTGGTACATACTGGGTGCTCGATTACAATCTCTAACAAGCGAGTTGTCGTTTGGGGTCAGCTCCCCAAGACTTTGCCTTTGATGAGTCAGCACAGGGCCAGCCAGCATCGGAAGGAAACCCCGTTTCTGAGTTCCCAGTGTCCTCCACTTCACCTGGTGAGCTGAAGGCAGTTCGATCTCCATCCTCTGTTTGGCTTTCCTCCACCTCTGGGAAGGGCCTCCTGCTGCCCCAGGAGGGGTGGCCGGGACCCAGGCGGTGATTGTTCTGTGAGCCCAGTCCCACCCGCCATTCTCCCACTTCAGGTCCTGCTCTCATCTCAGCGACTGGGAAACACTGGCAGGTGGAGGGTCAGCAGACATCCAGCGCTGAACTCCCCAGCACCCACAGAG